AAATATGCTTCACTTCTTATCGGCACCATTTTGAACCTGACTATAACCCTTCGATTTCCATTTGTGCTTACATGTAATCTCGATTTTTACAACTTTTTTACCAATGTTTTTGTTTTCTGCATTGGCATAGAGTTCTTCTGAGGGGCCTACACTAACAATTTTCTCAACCAATATTTTGCATCSGGATAAATTTTTTCGAGTCAGTTTTTCACTTTTGCCGAGAATTGTTTTTTGGGTCAATAAAAAGCTAATTTCTAGTAGTATGGTTAAGGATCCCGTCACGTTGAAAAAAAATGAATTTATAATAGTTTATAATAGACATCAACTACCATTTCTATTGTCAATTGGTTTTGCGATGGAACCCATGAATATTAATATGGTATCAGAGCAGAGAACGTTCAAACTAGCAACTGGTCCAAAAATGGGATCCGACCAAGAGCGATTTTGAGGGGCATGTTAAGGATCCCACATTGAAAAAGGAAAAGAAATTGGTTTTGAGATGGAACCTCTTAAATATTAATAATAAGTATTGTCATATTTATGTTTTCATTTTAATGGGGAAGTTTTTTTTAAAATTTGTCATGTGTACTTTTTTTAATTTTTTACTGTTCACCACCTGTCACATTTCTAATTTCTTTTTAACTTACAGAAAGTTGATAGATAAAGGGATATTTAATTTTTAAAACAATTTTATAGGTTGAGGATAGAAATGAAATTATTAAAATGATAACGACATAATCCAAACTTTAAGGTATATTTTTGTTGTAAGAAAAAAATTTAAGATCAACCTAGTTTCCCCACATTTGGTAATGTTTATATACGACCCTAGCCCAATAACTGCCTCAACTATCAAAATAAAACTTGAAATACAATGTCAAAGCGAGCCTAGCTCGGTTATTGACATATACCTCAAACTAAGAGGCTGTGAGTTCGAATCTCCTCACCAACAAGTTAAACTTGAAATATAATATTATTCATTATGCATTTCTCTCTCTTAGTTGTCAAATGTTTAATGGTGGTGAAGAAAGGTTGCTCAGGAGCCAAGTTTTTTCCGAAAAACTTCCCTCCTAATAGAGATAAAAAAAAGAAATATGTGACTTAATACGGAGAGGGAGGAAGAGAAAATATAGAAGATATTTATGAGATACTAAAAGCTAATAAATAATTAAAGAAAACACTCGTCTATATACTATTGAACCACATAGGTATTCAGAAGGAGCTTACCCCTGGATATTCATATTCCGAACCGAAGTTTTCTCCAAAAAAATAATTTAACCTAGTGTTTGAAGTTAAAAGACAATGTAATAAATAGGGACAGAATCAGAATCCGAAAACACAATAAATTTATATATTTATAAACCGTTACATTTTGAAAACTTAAAATACTTGATAAAACTACTTGTCATATTTGCTGATTTCTATACACAAAAAGAATAAAAAAAAAACTTATAAATACTACATTTTTCTTCCTTGTATATTACTGGTATTATACCATTTTTATATTATTGATAATGATATATTATCGATATATACTTATGTGATAAAGAATATGATCACGTCAGTTTTACATAACTAATAAAGTATATCACTTATATACTATATATATAAGATTAGAAAAATACATTTGGTTCCTATAATTTTGTTAAACTAATTATTTAGTGTACTTTCAAATGGATAACAATTTAGTCATTGAATATAACAATTTAGTTCATATAGTTTAAAATTTGTAACAATTTAGTCCCTACCATTAAAAATCTCATCAAAATTAAGTATCAATTTTTATCATATAATAATTTGGTCTTTATAATTTCTAAACACATTCGATCCCTTATTAGTTTTTTTGATCTACATATATAAGAAAACTTAACAAACATTTTTACGATAGGAGTTAAATCATTACAAACTTTAAACTACAAAGACTAAATTGTTACGTACTAAAATTCAAATATTGAATTGTTATCGATTTGGTATTATCCAGAAAGCGGTTCAAGTCCAATGAAGCCTCTGTTTCCTGACGCGGTTTCAACTTTGTCTGCATTGATCCAAATTAACCTTCAAAACTCAATCTTGGTTTGCATGTGAGGCTTGGATCACTCACTATAGTTCCGCCACGTGGCATGATATCATTCGCTAAAATTCACATGCATTAAAGATCTCTCT